AAAAGCGGATCCGCTCGGTGTGCAATTCCCATCGCATGCATGCAAGATATATATGGTACATGGTAACAGACTGCCGGCCTCGACTCCGTAAAGGTACCCAGCCCCCCTTTGAGCCGCATTTCCTCTCTTAAGCCGAGTTTCCCCTTCAATATAACTCCAACGTGAAACTTTCTGCTTGTGAATGACAATGGATGATGAAAGTTATGTATGTGCGTGGATTAAATTAGAATTCTTGTTCTTCCTGGAAGGACATCCCGAAGCTGATGATGGTCCCGTAGATCAACAGGCCCCCGACGATGCACATGATCATGGCCGGCACTTCGATTAGATGTGAGTGTGCGAGGACTACGGGTAGAGCTGTAAAAAGTGCGAGTTAGCATAAGTCCCATCCACGCCGATTGTGAACAAGCGTCTCTCTTTCTCCAGTGCGCCGCAGTAATGGGTCCTCTATCAAGCATCTTCCTCCCCTTTGAGCGAGCTCTCCACCAGGACCTCACAACACCATCGTAGTCGCATGCCCTTCCAAAGCCCGAACCAGGATACCAAGATATGATAAGAATAAATACGTACCAATTCCCATAACGACCAAGAAACCCGTGCAGAAGCGGCCGAGGTCGAGGACCGCGTTCCCGGAGCTCTCGACGAAGTCGTCCGGGTTCGCCCAGCGGCCGCAGACCCAGTTGGGCAGCGGCGCCAGCACGTAGGTGGCGACGACCAGCAGCGGGTAGTACTCCTTGTACAGCGCGCACGACAGGATCACGAGCAGGAAGCCGACGGCCAGCACGAACGACAGCGCGATTATCGTCTTGAGCCCCGCGGTCGGCATCGTGGCGTGGGCGTGGGCGGAGCGGGTTGGATGGGAATGGAGGGAAGGTCTTTAAGTGTCTGAATCGGAGACTTTGAGCTGGGGCGCTGGTATAGAAGATGTGCGCGTGTTTGTATATGGATATCAGCGGCTATGCGGCGGCGCGCGGGCGTCTGGTCGGTGTTAGGGGGAGCGAGATGATGAGGATGGTTCGGCTGGCGCTTAATGCTAGAGTGTTGTCGGCTGCTATGTACGTTTTGGTGAGTTAATTAGGACCCGATACCAGATCGCCGAGTGAGAGGGAGACGGTTTGCGACAACGTCTTTAGGTAGAGTGAGTTGATCGTCCGTGTCTGCAGGGTGTTGTCGTCAGCCGGCCGTGATGCAATACTTAAGCCGATAAGGCTTCCACTTAAGGACGAAGCGCCGAAGAGAGCTTGAGCCACAATCCTGCTACCGGGACATTTCAGCTGTGGCTTGTGAGTGAGGTGGGGCCGGGATCCCACTGGGCCTAGAAACTGGGAATAAGTACCTAGGTATCCAGGTACGTACCTACCTCATCCCACCTGGACCCGCATGACGCTAAACCCCTTGTGTAAGAGCAACGAAGCTTGGAGCTGCCTTGCGATTGTCACTTCGCCAGGACAGCTCCAGCCTCGTGTCTGATCAACTACAATTCAAATAAGCTACGAACAACCTCACGCCAACGTCTTCTTCGCCCGCAAAACACCTCTACAAATACCCGAACTTGGCACCTTCAACGTAGTAAACAGCGTCTGGCAACATGTTCAGGAACAACTACGATAATGACTCCGTCACATTGTAAGCTTCTCATCGAAGTACAGGTGCGAGCACTTATACTAATAGCTCCCAGCTCTCCGCAAGGAAGAATATTTCAGGTCGAATATGCCGCCGAGGCCGTGAAGCAGGGTTCAGTAGTCGTTGGTATAGTCAGCAAAACACATGCCGTGCTAGTGGCTATCAAGGTACGAATTTCACGTCTCCTCTTCAAACCCCAACGTCATACATAACCTTGAGCGGAGCTCCTAGCTAACCTACGTCTTCCTTACCTTTAGAGAAACGCCGAAGAACTGTCATCGTACCAGAAGAAGCTGTTCGCAGTCGACGAACATGTCGGCCTCGCCATCGCAGGTCTGACGTCCGATGCCCGCGTTCTTTCCAACTTCATGAAGCAGCAATGCCTCTCCCAGCGACTGACGTACGACCGCGCGATGCCCATCGAGACGCTGGTATCCCTCATCGGCGACAAGGCCCAGCTCAACACACAGCACTACGGCAAGCGGCCGTACGGTGTCGGACTGCTCGTGGCGGGCGTAGACGACAGCGGCCCGCACCTCTTCGAGTTCCAGCCCTCTGGGCTGACGCAGGAGATGCTGGCTTGTGCCATTGGCGCCCGCTCGCAGATGGCACGCACATACCTCGAGAAGAACCTCGACAAATTCGCCGATTGCGGCCGTGAAGAGCTCATCAATCACGGCCTGAGAGCCCTCAAGGAGACGCTGGTTCAGGATCGCGAGCTTACGGTGGAGAACACAAGTGTTGGTGTCGTGGGACCCAAGGAACCTGGCAAGCGGCCCCTAGAGCCCTTCAAGGTCCACGACGGTGCTGAGGTTAAGGACTGGATTAATAGCATAGCGGACGATACTGAGACGAGCGGCGAGGGCATGCAGGTGGATGAGTAAATGATATGTGCGGCACAACAACTCAAGGAATAGACCGTGCAGCTCCGCCTGAAGATCGGATGAGAGAGCTGGGGATCGATAGATGGGATCCGCAGCACATCGCTCTCCAAAAGTAAGTGATATAGATCAGCGCTCTGGGATCGAGGATGCATGTTCCCAGACGAGTGCGAAGTTTACAAGAAGTCAACCAGGCGCCAATGGCTGTACTATAGATGCTACTATCTACCTACCTATCCGCTTAGATATCACAAGAATCGACATCAGGTGGGAAATTCATACCATCTTCACCTTTAACTACTCGGTGATTGTCACTTGATTTTATTTATCTGTGTACCCATTCACCTGCCTATTCACATATCTCTACGTATTTATCTATCTATATCTCATCCTCTTCCTCATCGAAATCATCCTCGCGCCCCATCTCATACAAGATCCGCCCGCCCTCGCCCGCACCAATATCCGTCTGCGCGTCAAAGTACGGCAGCACGATGCCCTCCCGATCACGCCGCTGTTTCTCCGTCAGGCCTAGATTGAATGTAGATTCCGGCTGCTGCTCTTCACTTTCCCCTCCTCCTCCGCCTGCTCCGTCTCCTGCTCCCTGCGCTGCTTCTGCTTCGGGATCTAGGAAAGCGGGGTGATCGGAGAGGAGGTAGAGTTTGGATATTGAGGTTGGCGGTATTTCTGATGATGATACCATCCTCTGTTGGGCATCTGCTTTTGCATTTTTTGTATTTTTTGTATTGGGGTGTGAGAGTGACGGAACGAGCACGAACGTCTCTGCCACGGCCCGTCCGCTTCGGCGGCGGAGCTCCATTTCTAGAACTAGACCTCCCACCATGCTACTACTACTGGTATTGTTACCGGTAATACCACTTGAACCGTTCATAGACTGGGCCAAAGTAGACTGCGCGACCTTGCCGCCGCGCAGTCCCAGCCCGACCAGCACGCCCTCCTTCCCCTCGTCGAGCCCGAACTCGGGCTCCCGCTGGCTGCGGTTCTGCGCGCGCCGGCGCTCGACGGCGTGGTGCAGATTGCTTGTGCGCAGGACGGCTGTCGCGAGGTGGGTGAGGATTGTGAGGGGGTGCGGGGTGTAAGGGGAATACGAAGAGGACGACGGCGGCGAAGAGAAAGAGGAAGGGGATGGGGAAGGGGAAGAAGAGGAAGATGAGGAGATACTTGGGAGTGGAAGGGAGAGAGGCACGTCTGTGTGGTAGAGGCCTACGAGCGAGACCGCGGGTCCCGTAATTAGACTTGAGAGGAAGAGGGCTAGGTCTGCTGGGATCGAGCTTACGAGGGGGTTTAGCTCGTCCAGTATTAGGAGGGTTTCTGAGTCAACTGGTTAGAATGGATCTTGAAGTGAAGGGCCTGGTATGATGAGGGCAGGAAGGAAGAAGAGGTAGGGGAGAAGATAGGAGAGTTCATTGATTGCTTGTATGGTTGATTGCGTGCTCGCTCGCTCACTTACTGTGAGTGTGTCCTGCTGGGTAGTGCGAGGTGATCTCGGCACGCAGCGACTCGGCGGTTTTGCCGCGGCCTCTGACGAAGACGTCGACGCCGGCTGGTCTTCGCGGAGTGGCGAAGGAGATGTAGATTATTTTTGCTTTGGAGATCTGTGTTTCCGTGTTAGTCGTATGTCCTTGAGGCTAGGTGAGATGAGACCAGATGAGATGAGATTAGATGAGATGTGGCGAGAGAGGGGACAAAGGTTAGGTACGGGTTTAACATGTTTCTCACCTGGGCCCTGCTCATGAATTCTCGTAATACGGGTTTCCCGCTCTGCTCTAGAGTGTCGAGCACCAGAGTCAGCGGACTGGCGCTGTCGCGCAGATTGAGCAGTTTCTGTAGCAATAGCAGCGCATGTGAGCGGGCATGCGACTGCGTTGTCGTCGTTGATGACGGCATCTTCTTTCTGGCTTAATAATTCACCGACATAGATCTCTTGCTCGGTATGGGTTTTGGTTGAATAAGGTCAGTTTGAATACTGGCGGGTATAGATATTCTCGGGAGAAAGAGTCTTCGATGTCTTGAACAAATTCAATTGACTATTATCGCGTTGAGCTACTACAGGTTACCTCCTACTAGTAGTTGTTGCAGGCTTATCCACCCTACGCACAGCTCGAGAACAGGGTACCTAGCTAGCCGCTACTATTTATTCCCCGCATCCTTAATTGAGCAGTCTTTTGCGGTTAGGTTTTGGCGGCTCACAGATAAATTTTCAAGGGCTCCGCCAAGATATATCTAACCAACTAATAAAAAAGATAGGAAAAGGGGGGGGGGGGGGGGGGGAATATTGGGAAAAAAAATGACCTTACCTGGTAGCGCTGGCACAGTATTAGGGTCGAAAAAATTACCTTTGAATACATTTATATATTAGAAAAAATAATTTAT